TCTATGCTGACAAGCCTGTCCAATGTCTAGATTTTAGAGAAAACCCCAGAATGTGCAGTCTCACCATGCTGCCCCCATTCCTTTCTTGTTTCCACATTAATTGTCTTAAGAAATGTTCCCCTACAGAACTTCATCTCATATCAAAACATTACCCCGGCATAATTTCAGACAGAATTCATTTTAAGACAGTTTAATTCCTCTTGGGTTCAAAACAAGGTATTAGGAGATGAATGATGTGGGCATTCCAGATCAGGTTTAGAAATTATATGCAAAAGATTCAATGCATGATGTTTCAAATACTGCAGCATAAATGAGGAAGCCACGTATTTCAGTGTAGGCTGCCTTCACTGCAGGGTGGTTGTTAAGTCTTACCGAGATAATTTGTTTTCAGCTCTTTGAAACTGAGAAACTAGACCAGAGTTACTGAATCAATCAGACTTACATTAGTATTGACTTAACAAGTCTCATTCATTCAAAAGGACTTTAGCCAGGACCAAATCTAATTATTAGTCCCAAATGTTAAGCCTTTGTCATTATTACATCTGTTGATCCTGTAAGTACACCTGGGTTTTGCAACAAATAACGGTAACTGTTTTTCCAGACTGTGTAATAAGCGCAATGTGCTAGAACATCTCATTTACCATATTTGGTGTTTCGTATGACATTTATCTAACAAGCCACGTTTCCAGCATCATGCCTTTGGTCTTCTATTTTCTCTATTGATTTGTGTTGCACTCCTTTGTTTTGTGCACTGTTCCTTACTCATCTTGACAGCCCCCTGCCAGGCCTCTTGCATTTGTTATACACTATTGATGAGCAAGCCCTGGATCATCTGTAACAGCCTGAAAAAATTTCATTCACAGCAAATAATCAATGGTATTGACGAAGGCAGCCAAATGTAATGATGCTAGTACAAAGCATTGTTCGTAAAGAAGGAACTGTGTTATCTGAAAAAAGAAAAAGAATAGATTGCCAGTCAAGCCCTAGTGCTATGATTCAACACACACTGGGGACTTCCTCTGTTTCATCCCCTCTGCACACTCCCATGTGCTCCCTAAATCAACTCCAGAGCATCTCCCAGTCTGCTAAAATGGACTGGAGAGAGTGATGGAGCAGAAGGAGATACAGCCCCATGTCTGTGGAATACTCTAGAGCAGGGGTGTCCAACCTTTCACCTTCCCTGGGCCACATTAGAAGATGAAAATTTAGTTTGGGCCACACATAAATTTGGTTTGGGCCACATGGGGGGGCCGGCCTAGCCATCCTCTGCAGCCCCGCTCCAAGTGCGCTTACCAGCGGCTGCGATCTCAGACAGCAGAGGCTGCCAGCTTCAGCTCTGGCGACATTATGGAGCCGGGAGGGGGTCCACCTATTGACGGGGATGGCGCAATGCAGTCACACAGCCCCCCTCTCCCCTCTCCTCCTGCTCCTTCCTTCCCTCTCCCCCCCTACCGTTGTGACGTGCCCCAGCCGCATTCTGGCCGCAAGTGCCAGCAGTGTAACTTGAAACTTTGGAATTTCTTTTAAAATAAAAAATTACACTGGGCTGCATTATGAGCCGACCTGGGCCGCATGCGGCCCTCAGGCCGCAGGTTGGACAAGCCTGCTCATAAATCTAATATCCTCGGCATTTTCAGTGGGTTACTGAAAATGCATCCTTGTGTCGTTTGCTAACCAATTTTTTTTTTGTCGTTAAAAATTACATACTGAGAAGTGTTTGGGGGACCTTAGGCAGTTCACCACCACCACATATAGTACACAAGGTGACTTTCAATTTAAAAATAAAATAAAATGGGGTGTACGTGGGAGTGATGGAAGTCCACAGAACACACGTTGCCTACCACTCCTATAGAGAAGGATAGTTTTTGTTTGTTTTCAAAACTAAGCTTATTTAGTGAATATATTTTCTCTGCATGTGAAGTGGGGATGGCCTTTCAAATATTTCGGGGCTATGTCACATCTGACCTTGCCAGTACAGCCATGGTGTTAAGGTGAATATCCCTTCAAAAAGGGGGTACTGCTTTTAAAATCAAGTGATTTCATAGGGCTTGATCCAGTCGTTTCTTCCAACTACAATGGACAAGTTGAATCATTGATTGAAATCCCCTTGATTCCGTGGATTTTATTATTATTAATGAGTGATTACAATTTCAGTTCCAAGGAATAATGAGGCTTATTTTCCCAAAATGTCTGTACAAAATGAAAGTGCAAGGGAAAAAGATAAGGAGACAGTGCAGAAGCATAGACAATTACGGGGATTGATCAACTTCCCCCTCTTCCCTTCCCACAACATAACTGTGTAAAGGAGATATGCCACTAGCCCAATAACCCCACAGCTGCTCTAGACTTTTCCTTCTTTTAAGATCATGAAGGCACCCAGACCCCAAACTGTACTTTAAATTCATAGAAAACGTTTTCTCCCAAAGAAATTTGAATAAAAATATATCCCTGTTGATTGTGACCTTTAAAAATAAAAAAAGTCTGTAAAGGCAATTGCCATTATTTTAAGACCTATTCAGAAATAGAGTACTGTGAGGAACTTAAAGCAAACATTTTCTGTCTCATGGACAAATTAAGTTAGTTTTTCAGAAAGATTTTTTTTGGATGTGACACTCTATCAGTGCCCAAAAATGCTTTGGAAATAATTCAGGAAAAAGGATTACAGAAAATATTGTAGAGAAATCCCTTCATTTTCAGTCTTCTTAGCATTAGCACATTTTGCCAAATGCCCAGATTCTTATAGGAACTGCACCACGTTGTCGGCATTTTCATCCATAACAACTATGGCCATGGATGACCTTGACAGTTGCCTTTGGGAAATGACAGATAATGCATTTCCTGGGGCAGAAGCTAGAAGTCATATTAGATAAGGGACAATTTCGGTTCAAAAGCTGTGGGGAATTTGACTCAGCCACATGTGTCATGTAGAAAGCCAGGTCTAATCTAAAGATGTGCATCAGTGCTGACACAGAACAGACTTAACAAATTATACTGAGTCTCAGAGAATTCTGTCTGGAGGCACCACACCCAAGGCTGGTGGGGCTCAAAATAAGCGTAGATTTGTCAGCTAAGACACAGAGATACTGATAATTCCAGCTGAAACACAGATTTATCAACATGGCATAATCTCTGAATGAGACTGAACAAGTTTCCCAGTTCTTTTGCTTTTGCTTCTTCAGATAGAATAAATCACATGCAGAAGTAGACATGTGAAGTAGAGAGGCAAAATTATAATGCAGAAGGAACAGAAGGTAAAAGATCATAAGGTAAAGGTAAAGGTAAAGGTTCCCCTTGACAATTTTTGTCCAGTCGTGTTCGACTCTAGGGGGCGGTGCTCATCCCCGTTTCCAAGCCATAGAGCCAGCGTTTTGTCCGAAGACAATCTTCCGTGGTCACATGGCCAGTGCGACTTAGACATGGAACGCTGTTACCTTCCCACCGAAGTGGTCCCTATTTATCTACTCGCCATTTGCATGCTTTTGAACCACTAGGTTGGCGGGAGCTGGGACAAGCGACGGGCGCTCACTCCATCGCGTGGATTCGATCTTACGACTGCTGGTCTTCTAACCCTGCAGCACAGGCTTCTGCGGTTTAGCCCACAGTGCTAGAAGGTAAAAGATCGTACAGAACAGTTAAACATACATCCCACTTGAACGATTTAACACCAAAAAAGCCTTGGAGTCCCACACTGGCTGAAACTGTGCTAAATATGAGGAACTGAACACGACAGAACGGTGAACTCTGGAGTTAAGGCCAGAATGGAAGAAGTGAGCCTACAATAAATGTTGTAGAGTGCTCAGGCTGGCACCCAGTAATCTCCCACAACACTCCACCTCATTCCTTTCCCCCCTGATTTTTTACACACCTTAAACACTCAGACTGAAAGCCAATTGTTAATTCCAACTAGAGTACAGCCATTTAACCAGTGGGATGTTGACTTACCAAGCTCACATGGATTCTGTAAACTGACCCTAGTTGAGATGAAGTATTGGCTCATGGCCGCTTGGTGTGTTAAGTCATTACAGAGCTGAAACTTCCTAAAGCTTTAGATTCCTCTAAGCCTGGGTAGTGCTATTTTAGCTGCATAAGAATTGGTGCTCAGGTAACTGACTATTCATATATATCACATATTTCCAGGCAATTCTTCTGAACACTGAGAATAGACTAAGTTGTCCTTACAGCTTCTGCAAGCATCTTTGAAGTAATATTAATTTCAAACAAATACATTTTAATTCAATGCAATTTGGGGTACAAAATTTTAAGATACTATCATTTTATCTGGACCTGGAAGGTCACATCTGATCAAGGTTGAGAATTTAGGAGCATAATCCTAGGTGTGTTTGCCTCCAGCCAATCACAAAAAAAGCTGTGCTATATGCTTCTTGGTTCTAGCATGTTCTGCCCCAAAATTTACTGCATAAACAGAGAGTGGGCCTTTTGTAGATAGAATAGCTGGACAGATGTTTATACCTGATAATGTTTTGTTTGAGAACACAAATACACATTTTAATGTTTTTAAAAAGAAGTCATTACAAGTGAAGTTTCCTAAAAAAAACAACAACAATAGCATGCACATTCAAAAGTACACATTCAGAAGTACTCTAGCCGCCTAGAGTGGTCTGGTAGTCCAGATAGGTGGGGTATGTATGTATAAATAAATAAATAAATAAATAGATAGATAGATAGATAGATAGATAGATAGATAGATAGATAGATAGATAGATAGATAGATAGATAGATAGATAGAACATTAGGTTGGTTGGATAGCTCAGTGAGTTACATCATTGGCTGCAGAGCAGGAGGTCAGTAGTTTCATTCCCCACTGCACTTCCCAGGAAAAGAGCCAACCTTTGTAACCTTGGGCATTTCATTCCCCACTGCACTTCCCAGAAAAAGAGCCAACCTGTGTAACCTTGGGCAAGCCTTGCACAGCCATACAGTGTCCCTAGAAGAAGAATTCTTATTCATATTCTTCTTATTAAAGTCATATATAGCCTTACTTGTGCTACAATCTGCATACTCAATGTCATCTATTGCAGCTCCTCCTCCAAGGTCTTTGGTCCGGATCCCTTCAAACAGGACTTCAAAATTTCTCAACTTCCCTAGGTGAACTTCTGCTTTCTTCCATTGGTCACCATAGTCCCCTGAATCACTCCACACTCTTAAAAGGCTGCCCTCAGTCTGGTGATTTAAAAACAGAGAGGGAAAAACGCTTAGATGAAGAGGTAAAGCCCAGATATGATCGACCTGCAATTGATACACGGATGATTCGGTGATGGGAGAATATGAAAGAAATATTAGATTAAGCAGCCTTCTCCAGTCCGGTGCCTCCCAGATGTGATGAATTTTGAGTCTGACACCGTACTTTCCACCAGTTTGGCCAAGTTGGCTGGGAAGGATGGGAGATGTAGTTCAGCACATTTGGAAGGAATGTTGAGGTTGTAATGGCTTACAATAACAAAATAAAATAAAATAAAAAGAAAAGAAAAGAAAAACGCTTTAAAGGCTCTGAGTGACTCCACAGGATATGGTGATGAGTCTTTCCATGGGTTCCTGAAATTGTAAGCCAAAGGAGATGAACCTGTACATTTACGGTAGGATACTGAATCTCACCCTTTGCAGAAGACACTAAAATGCATGGGAAAATGAGCTGAGTCACTCAGAATATCCTCTGCTTTCACCTTGACATCATACCCAAACAAACCCTTAGGAAACAAAGTAAATCTGCAGGAAGGAAAAATGGCACAGGGCCCACAAAAGAGCCATGCCATTGTAGAATGGAATCTGGAAATTGATGATTTTGAAAACACCTTTCTTGAAAAATCTCCCAGCTTACAATAAGCTGAGATAACAGTGCAGGTTGATCTCTACCTAAGGACAATTGCATATAGATGATTTGCCATGCTTATTTGGCAGTCTTAAAGTCACATGACAACTGAACTTAGCTGAATATTTGAATGATATTGGATTGCTCTTCAGTGGAAACTAAACTTAACATAAACACCAACTTTCTTTCTTAGTCCATTTTAGATAGCCAATAAAATAAGGTTCTGAGAGAGATTGAATAAATATTCAAATTTTCTTTGAAAAAGATCGGCAACCAATCCCATCAGGGGGAAAAAGAGCAACTGCTGAAACTTTTCCCCTCCTACAAGGGAACAAAGATAGCATCCCCTTTTTTAAAAAAAATAAAAAATAAAAAACAGTCGTTCTGGGTTTTTCGGGCTCTTAGGCCGTGTTCTGAAGGTTGTTCTTCCTGACGTTTCGCCAGTCTCTGTGGCCGGCATCTTCAGAGGACAGCAACCGGCCACAGAGACTGGCAAAATGTCAGGAAGAACAGAACACGGCCTAAGAGCCCGAAAAAACCAGAACAACCATTAGATCCTGGCTGTGAAAGCCTTCGCGAATATAATAAAAAACAGCATTTGTAAACAAGACACCTTGTATTTTCCATTTAAAACTTTATTCCCATAGCATTTCCCCAAGAGAAGGGTCAGGCTTCCCACAGGAACAACATTACATAATGTACCTCACGTAGCATCATTCCCACAGCCATGGGGTTCCAGTCTCTAAAAAAACACTGATGCAAAGCTGACAGGAGATTTGTGGTCACAACCACAAGGTTTTCTAGGGGATGAGGAGGAGTAAGTAGAAGAAAATGGTTTTTTTAGGGCTCTAAAGATAAATTAACAAAAAATAAATCTAATATCCTCTTCTACTTGCTCCTCCTTCCCCCTCCTAGAAAACCTTGATCGTTTCTCAGAATTTCTTCATCTTCCCCTTTTAGAGTAATAAAGCTCCATCCGGAGTGAGGAGATCTCTCTCTCTCTCTCTCTCTCTCGCTCTCTCTCTTACTAACCTTGACAAAACCATGCATATTCTTTATTTACTTATTTGCACAGATAAAGGAGAACTTGAGATAAAGGAGTATATACAGATGGTTGTGCTGCTAAAATAAAAGTAAAAATTGCCACATATGTGACCCAATTTTTTTAAAAAATGCTGTGTCACTGATATCTTTCTGAGCTGCTATTTTTTTCTTCATTCCTGAAATCATAAAAATGGCTAAATCAGCAAATATTTTTCACTGAGAGTTATACTATGGAATGCTGACAATAGCTTATACACCACCAGCAATTTAAGGTGGCACAAAGATGAAATGTGATATATCATGCAGTGTCTGGAAGCATTCTTTTTGTCTGAAAATGTGTTATTGATTTTGCTAACATTTCTTATACTGTATATTTAGGATCTTTACACTTAGAAGCAGATCTTCTACAAAGAAAAAGAAAGTCTCTAACATCTTGGTGAAGTGCCATGCCATGAAGACTCCAGTTTTATTTTGATACAGCTGTGGGATTACAAGGAAACAATTCACCATGTCTGACTATGTTGAGATTCAGATATCCCCAGTTGTTTAGCAACGCAGTACGGAGCAATAAGCAGGTGATACTAAGTCAGAGGTATTCCTGGTAAAACTGTACTAGAGGCACAGATGTAACAAACGAGGAGGTAATACTGGAAGATTAAATAAGCAAATCATCTTTCTATTCCTTTTCCCTGTCTGAACTAGGGAACATTCCTAACTCCAACCAAATGCAATGAAAGAGATGAATCCTCCAGTTTCAAACTAAAGGTTTTCATCGTTCCATCTAAAGAAAATGTTTTGTTAGCTTATAATCCATCTCCTTCAAGCTTTGGCAAGTGAAAATATGCACTGTTGGGTGAATCCACAACCAGGCCAGGTGGGCCAATCTTCTGAAAAGGACAAAAGCTGTTCCCACAGCTATAAATAATCAACTATCCAACAAACTGCAACAGAACACAGACAGAGTTCCGACTCCTGTCCTCTGAAGTTGCCAGCCACAGAGATTGTCAAAATGTTAGGAAGAACAAGCTTCAGAACACGGCCAAAGAGCCCGAAACACCCACAACCATATATATATTGTCTCCTTCCTTTCCTTCCTTCCTTCCTTCCTTACATATCCAAAGGTGGCCCTCTCCATTGACCTTCTGCTGGTGTTGAAATGCAGCAGAAATTAGCCACTACCTAGTCTGAGAACAAATAAATGAAGCAGCACAAATTCTTCTGACAGCTGAGGTGGGAAGAGAAGGTTTGCCCACGGAGTGTGCCATGTGCTCTCTGTGTAACACCACCCAACTCTGCAACACTCATCAGGTGGAGAAGGAGAGGAAATGTGAGGGTCATAAGCGATGGGAAGAGAAGGATTGCCCACAGAGTGTGCCATGCACTCTCTGTGTAACACCACCCAACTCTAACACTCATCAGGTGGTGAAGGAGAGGAAATGTGAGGGTCATAAGCGTGGTGCCTTTTACCTCACCATTACCCATCTCTATAATGTAGCTACTACAAAGCAGTCCCTTCCTTAATGCTACCCATTCTACTTGTCTGTAGTCACACAATAACAAAGCTGTCAAGGGTGTGAGCTTCAAGATGGTGTGCATGTCACTGTAGACCAAAAGCCAACAAAAGGAAATCGGCCTTGCCATCCTCTCCAACAGAAATCAGTTTGAGTAAATTGTCAACAAAGCATGTAAGATGGATAAACTTCAAGGCAAACTTTTAGCTTTTGTACTCAGTTTTTCATCTGGATGCGAAGGCTATGCCTCCATGGTTATATGTTGAGAATCCAGGCAGCTAATTGCATCTAATCCTCTAGTCGTCTCTGCACATACATACAGTCTGCCCTTGAGGTCTCTTTGGTGTGATAAAACATTCCAAAACTTTATTAATAAGGAGTGTCTGATTAATTTTACAAAACTAGACTAGAGCTAGTCATTGATGGGGGAATTAGGTAGATGTTTAATTGAAGTGGGCAATAAATGGAAAATTATAATGGAAAATTGATCCATTTAAGTATTTACTGATAATAAAGTGAATTAGATGTATCCAGTACTGCTGCATTGGTGACATTAATCCCACCGACACATTTATAGATAGCTGTGTCTGTTCTACAAGGAATGATCTTATTGGGATCTATGGATTCAGTCAAACACTAAGGGCATCTGGATCAGAAACACACATGATAACTTATGCAGACTGTGAAAGGGGCCCATCAATATCCTCCTGCACAGCTCTTGCTGCTACAAAATTTATAAATACTTAATAAAACATCAAATACAGAGAACGCTTTCGAACATAAATATACCACTGCTCTAAACTGTACTTCTGTTTGAAAGAGCTCAACAGAATTCTGTTGTATAAAAAAAACCTGCCCACTTTAATGATTATCACCATCTTTGTTTATTTTTAGCATGGGGGGGGGGCTTTGAGGGCCTGGGTACATATATCTATGTAATTGCAGATCTTAGCAGTCACTCGTAAGATGTGTGTGTCCTACATTCATCATTCTAAAAGATCATGATCCACACTGAGTGTTTTTGACCAGGCTAACCACCTGTTGCTGGGGAAAGCTGTACACATGCAAAACATCAACAGAGAGAACACTGATAGTCCTATATGGACTGGGATGGAGTGAATGGCAGAATTTCTCCATGTTCTAAGCCAGTGGTTCTTAACCTTGGGTTACTCAGATGTTTTTGGACTGCAACTCCCAGAAGCCTTCACCACCAACTGTGCTGGCTGGGGTTTCTGTGAGTTGTAGTTCAAAAACACCTGAGTAACCGAAGGTTAAGAACCACTGTTCTAAGCTATCTTCCTAAGGCAGAGATAGATGGATCCAGCTGTTTAAGGCAGTAGTTCTTTGTGGGGCTTCCAATCAATGAGTGGATACACTATACCAGTTCTAGAGATCCACTCTTCAGGGCCTTTCAGGGCAATCGAGGGCTTTGGATCCATCAGATCAAAATCACTTGTGACTTTTCCCTGTTTCACTCCTGTTTCACCCCTGTTTGACTTACTGGCTTCAGTACTAACCTGTCCAAATACAAAAAAATCATGTTGTATATCTGTTAGAAATGCTAAAACGGGAAATGGTGGCATAGCCCTTCTCAAACTTGCACCATTATTTTTAATAGAAACAAAGATTTCTATTGAAGGTGATTTTTTTAAAAAAGAAAACCCAATAGAACTCTAACCAGAATATAAAAGCTATAGATCATACTCCCTATCTTCACTATGAAATCAATAACTTGGAAGACAGACTTGACATATTGACATAAATTTTCTTTGCTTCCCTGTCAGTATAACAGGAGAATG